TGGACACATATACTAATTGCTTTATCAATAGTATTGCATGTGTACGCAGTTATATTTAGTTGGCCTGTGCAATGCTGACTGCGATTGTGTATTGTTGCTTACACATTTGGGAGTAGATTTACTAAATCTGGCATACACAGAATCTGGTGCAATTGCGCATAGTAACCAGTTTCTAACTTCAGCTAGTTCAATTAAGCTTTGACAATAAGCCCTGATTTACACCCATGCAACTTGTCATGCAATTTGAAGTCACACCTTATAGTGGAATCGTTCATATTGGTGTGACTCCGACTCCATCAGAGTTCCAACACTTTTCATTATTTCAGGTGCGACTTGCATGCAAATCTGTGCACAAAGTCGCACAGATGTTCTCCAAGTCACATCTGAAGTCGCACTGGCATGCAACGTGAAGTTGCACAATTTCAAAGTCAGATCTGGTGTGATCCCGGGCTAAAACCTAGAAGCTGATGGGTTGCTATGCTTAGTTTCACCAAATTGTGTGTTCAACAGTTTTAGTAATTCTCCCTGAGTATGTCATGCTGGTTGCTAGAGGGTACTGATAGACACCATGCAATACAAAGCTCTTTGTTATACAGTATGTACGATCTATTTGTTGTTTTAAAGCTGATCTCCAAGTTTAATGCCCCAAACAACCTATTTACTGCACTAACAGGTGTGCTTGTAGGGCAAGCTGTAATAACTGTATACAGCCACAAACAGTATACAGCACTGTGTTCAAGAAGTAGAATGGGGATTTCCCTTCCCACTCCTGGAACAAAATAGACTAGGGCTAAGTGCCCCAAGCCATTCATGATAAGTTTTGTATTCTATGAAAGAAAACAAAGCTTCCTCTGACTGGCTGAGATGGAGATCGTGACGTCATCCACCTGGCCTTCCACCTCAGCCAATCAGAGGAAGCTGATTGAAAATAATACACAGAATACAAAGCTTCCAGTGAATGGCTGAGCAGCTTTAACTGCTGGGCATGCTTCATCTTTATGCCCTCTTCTCCTTTTATTATGCAATTGTATTGATTTAACTCATGTAAAACACTATATTCTTTATTTTGTTATATTTATTAGTTATAGGTTCACCCTTTTTATGATATTGCAGCATAGTGCAGAAATGTATTAGAGAAGCCAGATGCTGTTTGTAATTTTTTGTATTGTTTGTGGAACTGATTTGTCCTTGTGCGTTTTTTTTTTTTTTTTGCTTTTTTTTTGTTTTTTTTTTTTGGGGGGGGGGGTTGTTAACTTTTTTGTTTGAGTATAGATCGATGCTTGTCCCAAGCATGTTTGAAGCTATTTACTGTTGACTGGCTCACTACCTCTGCTGAAAGTTTATTCCAAGCATCAACTACTCAGTACAATAGCACTTTCTGAGATTAGTTTTGAACTTTCCTCCAGTTGGTTTAGGGTCATGTCCCCGTGTTTCTTGATTTTGGTTTTCTGTTTTGTGCCCTCCTGAACCTTATTCACCCCTTGATGTATTTAAAGGTTTCAGTCATGTCTCTCTTCCCCCTTCTTTCCTCCAGACTGAACATGTTAAGTTTTTGAAGTCACTCTTGATATGTTTTATCCCCCAGACCTTTCACCGTTTTTGTTACCTGTCTCTGGACTCTTCTATCCTATCAATATCTTTTTGTAAGTGAGGTCTCCAGAACTGGACACAGTATTCTATATGAGGTCTAACTAAAGATCTATATAGGAGATTCAGGACCTCCTTCCTCCTGCTTGTGAGCCCTCTAGTGATGCTTCCTAGAATTCTATTCGCATTCCCCACTGCCGGGCCACACTGTTTGCTCGTTTTGCAAGTATCTGAAATAAATACCCCCAAGTCCTTTTCCTTTGATGTGCTGGCCAACACTGTACCCTTCAAAGGTTCATTGTTTTACATTTAGAAACATTGAATTGCAATTTCCACTTTTTTGTCCAATCTTCCAGCAGTGCCAAATCATTTTCCATGTTACAGACACCTCCAGAGATATCAAACCTATTACATACATTTGTGTCATCAGCAAAAAAGGGCATACCTTACCCAACAAACCTTTAGTTACAGTCAGGTCCATAAATATTGGGACATCGACACAATTCTAACATTTTTGACTCTATACACCACCACAATGGATCTGAAATGAAACAAACAAGATGCGCTTTAACTGCAGACTGTCAGCTTTAATTTGAGGGTATTTACATCCAAATCAGGTGAACGGTGTAGGAATTACAACAGTTTGCATATGTGCCTCCCACTTGTTAAGGGACCAAAAGTAATGGGACAGAATAATAATCATAAATCAAACTTTCACTTTTTAATACTTGGTTGCAAATCCTTTGCAGTCAATCACAGGCTGAAGTCTGGAACGCATAGACATCACCAGACGCTGGGTTTCATCCCTGGTGATGCTCTGCCAGGCCTCTACTGCAACTGTCTTCAGGTCCTGCTTGTTCTTGGGGCATTTTCCCTTCAGTTTTGTCTTCAGCAAGTGAAATGCATGCTCAATCGGATTCAGGTCAGGTGATTGACTTGGCCATTGCATAACATTCCACTTCTTTCCCTTAAAAAACTCTTTGGTTGCTTTTGCAGTATGCTTTGGGTCATTGTCCATCTGCGCTGTGAAGCGGCGTCCAATGAGTTCTGAAGCATTTGGCTGATTATGAGCAGATAATATTGCCCGAAACACTTCAGAATTCATCCTGCTGCTTTTGTCAGCAGACACATCAATAAATACAAGAGAACCAGTTCCATTGGCAGCCATACATGCCCACGCCATGACACTACCACCACCATGCTTCAGTTATGAGGTGGTATGCTTAGGATCATGAGCAGTTCCTTTCCTTCTCCGTACTCTTCTCTTCCCATCACTCTGGTACATGTTGATCTTGGTCTCATCTGTCCATAGGATGTTGTTCCAGAACTGTGAAGGCTTTTTTAGATGTCGTTTGGCAAACTCTAATCTGGCCTTCCTGTTTTTGAGGCTCACCAATGGTTTACATCTTGTGGTGAACCCTCTGTATTCACTCTGGTGAAGTCTTCTCTTGATTGTTGACTTTGACACACATACACCTACCTCCTAGAGAGTGCTCTTGATCTGGCCAACTGTTGTGAAGGGTGTTTTCTTCACCAGGGAAAGAATTCTTCGGTCATCCACCACAGTTGTTTTCCGTGGTCTTCCGGGTCTTTTGGTGTTGCTGAGCTCACCGGTGCGTTCCTTCTTTTTAAGAATGTTCCTGTCAGGGCAGGGGCCGAGGAACGGACAGGCAGGCCTAACAATGTAACGCACTGGCTGACGACAACCACCACCCACAGACTGAAGTCCCTCAGGGCGCGGAGTCCAAGTCCCAGGCTGCCCTTCACCAGGGCCCCTGATGGTGGGGATGGACTTGACGCAGCCAGGAACCAGGTCACGGGCCCCTGAGACACCTCAGTTGCGGTAATGGCCACCGCCAATAGCGTGTAGCTGGTGGAAGAGACAAAAGAGTAGTCAGACAAGCCGGGTCAACAACAACAGGACAAAACAGTACAGGACAGCAGACGAGAATCACTGGTTACGAGCCGGGTTCAGCAACAGAGGGTCAGATCAAAGGAGAATACAAAGAATAGTCGAGTCACAAGCCGAATCAGATACCAGGAGAGTCACGAGAGTCAGAACAGAGTAATAGCAACACAAAGACACAAGACACAAGTGCAAAGAGCATGTGCGGGCCACAGGCTTATATGTCATCAGCCACACTCCTCTGGGGGATGGACCACAGAGACCTGAAGGCATAAAAGGATTCCCACCATGCACAGCAGAATCCAAGATGGACGCCAGCACATGGAGTAACATAACCTCAGGGAAAAGGTAGGACCTTGACAGTTCCAAACAGTTGTTTTGGCCACGCCTAATGTTTTTGCTATCTCTGATGGGTTTGTTTTGTTTTTTCAGCCTAATGATGGCTTGCTTCACTGATAGTGACAGCTCTTTGGATCTCATCTTGAGAGTTGACAGCAACAGATTTCAAATGCAAATAGCACATTTGAAATTAACTCTGGACATTTTATCTGCTCATTTTAATTGGGATAATGAGGGAATATAATGAGGGAATAACACACACTTGGCCATGGAACAGCTGATAAGCCAATTGTCCCATTACTTTTGGTCCCTTAACAAGTGGGAGGCACATATGCAAACTTTTGTAATTCCTACACCGTTCACCTGATTTGGATGTAAATACCCTCAAATTTAAAGCTGACAGTCTGCAGTTAAAACACATCTTGTTTGTTTCATTTCAAATCCATTGTGGTGGTGTATAGAGCCAAAAATGTTAGAATTGTGTCGATGTCCCAATATTTGTGGACCTGACTGTATATCATTTAAATATAGATTTAATAGAACAGGACCTAGTACAGAGCCTTGAGAGTCTCTACAGAGTGTCTGTTCCAAGTGAACCCCATTTATAACCACACTCTGGTATCTACGCTTTAGCCAGCTGCATAGCCACTGAACCACATTCAGATTAGTCTGACATAATCTGCCCTCAGTAAAGCTATGCTGCTTTGGATCAAGCAAGTTGTGTGTTTTTAAGTGATCAATGATCCTTCTTTTCAGGAGTGATTCCATTAACTTGACTGCAATCAATGTTAAACTCACTGGCCTGTAATTGCCAGCTTCTGCCTTGCTGCCCTTCGTGTGGATAATAGGTACAATATTAGCTGTCTGCCAGTCATGGGGAACCTCTCCTGTTAGAAGATATTCATTAAAAACATCAGTTAACCACTTGCCGACCGCGCATAGCCGAATGACGGCTTCACCGCGGCCGGCCAGTTCTGAGTGGACGTCATATGACGTCCTCCCAGAACGCGCTCTCCTGCGCGCCCCAGGGGGGGCGCGCACCCGGCGATCTCCGTGATCGCTGTGTCCTACGGACACAGCTGATCACGAGATGTGGTGAAAGGCCGATCCCACCGGCCTTTTACCACGTGATCAGCGGTGTCCAATGACACGCTGATCACAGGAAAATGCAAGTGCCGGTTCTCGGCTGCACTTTCCTCACGCTGTCAGATCGTGAGGAAAGTACTGCCGAGAACCGGCAGTTGTCAGAGCGGGGATCGGCACCGATCATCAGGGCACTGATGATCAGTGCCCTGATGATCGGTGCCCAGCAGTGACCCCCGCAAGTTCCGATCAGCTGTGTGCCCACTAGCCCCGCCCACCCATTCCCAGCAGTGCCCCCACCTGTGCCCAGCAGTGCCCCCACCTGTGCCACTCTGCAGTGCCACCTACCTGTGCCCAGCAGTGCCACCTACATGTGCCCAGCAGTGCCACCCACCTGTGCCCACCCACCTGTGCCCACCAGCGCCACCCACCTGTGCCCACCAGTGCCACCCACCTGTGCCCACCCACCAGTGCTGTCCACCAGTGCCACCCACCAGTGCCACCCACCAGTGCTGCCAGTCAGTGCCACCAGTCAGTGCCCAGGGGTTGTGCCAGTCAGTGCCGCCAGTCAGTGCCCAGAAGTGATGCCAGTCAGTGCCGTCTATCAGTACCCATCATCAGTGTCACCTATCAGTGCCGCCTATCAGTGCTGCATATCAGTGCCGCCTATCCGTGACCCCTAATTAGTGCTGTCTATCAGTGCCGCCTATCCGTGCCACCTCATTAGTACTGCCTATCAGTGCCCTTTAGTGCTGCCTATCAGTGCCCATCAGTGCCGCCTATCAGTGCCCATCAGTGCCGCCTCATCAACGCAAATCAGTGAAGGAGAAAAAATACCTGTTTGAAAAATTTTATAAAAGAAACAAATAAACTTTTTTTTTTTTTTTCAAATTTTTTGCACTTTTTTTAATTTATAGCGCAAAAAGTAAAGCGCCCAGTGGCTATTAAATACCACCAAAAGAAAGCTCTATTTGTGAGAAAAAAATGATCAAAATTTCATATGGGTACAATGTTGCATGACCGCGCAATTGTCAATCAAAGTGCGGCAGCGCTGAAAGCTGAAAATTGGCCTGGTAAGGAAGGGGGTATAAGTGCCTGGTAGGCAAGTGGTTAATGGTCCAACAACTATACCTCAAAGTTCTCTTAGAACTATGGGATGAATACCATCAGGGCCCATTGCTTTATTAATCTTTAACCGAGCCAGTTCTTCTGCTACCTCTCCAGAAATCCTAAAAATTAACCATAATTACTACAACTAATATGGTTTCCCAACTTGTTATTGTTAGTATAATTTATTTCTAATAAGACTGAACAAAAGTAATTGTTTAAGTGGTCTGCTACATCCAGGTCTCCCTTAACATAAGTGTTGTGTCCAGTTTTCATTTTAATGATCCCATCGTATTTTTTCTTTCTATCACTAATGTAGAAAAGGTTTTATCTCCTTTATTAACCATTTGCCACCCATCCTATGGCCGAATGGCGGCCGGCAAATGTCATCAGCGTTCCGGGTGGACGCCATATGGCGTCCTCCCGCACATGTGTAGATTGCCCTCCTGAAGAGCCGCGCAGCGGCACGATCTGTCACCGGCCATGTACCTCGGAAATGCTTGCTTATAGCAAAGAAATTATTTGCTATAAGCAAATTGTGTAAAAAAAAAAAAAATACTGATCACTTCCCCAAAGTAGTACAATATTACTATGGTAACATTGTACTACTTTGGTCATAGTGAAATATGAAAAAAAAATCTTAAAAAAATAAAAATTTTTTTTATAAAAAATAAAAAACAATAAAAAAAATAAAAAAAAATATATATATATTTTTTTTCATACTGTCCCCAGTCAGTGTCCCTGATCACCGCCATGCCAGTTATATGATGACGCTGTACTGCACTGGTGACAATATGTAAAAAAAAAATAATGAAACTAATTTTTTTAATTTTTTCATTTTCCGAAAAATTATGACAAAAAAAATACAACTTCAAAAAACTCGCCATGCCTCTTATGAAGTACGTCGGACTATCTACTTTGCAAAAAGGGGTCATTTGGGGGATATCTGTACTATTCTGACATTCTTGGACCTCAAGAAATTAGATTGGCTGGCAGTACTTCATGATTGATCAATATTCAGATCTATACCATAGTTTGTGAACTCTATAACTTTCCTAGAAACTAAATAATACATCCTAATTTGGGTTATTTTCACCAAAGACATGTAGCAGAATACATCTTGGCCTAAATTTATGAAGAACAATTTATTTGCAAACTTTTATAACAGAAACAAAGAAAAATGTGTGTTTTTTTCAAAATTTTTGGACATTTTTTTGTTAATTTAGCAAAAAATAAAAACCCCAGCGGTGATTAAATACCACCAAAAGAAAGCTCTAGTTGTATGAAGAAAATGATAAAATTTTAGTTTGGGTACAATGTTGTATGACCGCGCAATTGTCATTCAAAGTGTGAGAGCGCTGAAACCTGAAAACTGGCCTGGGCAGGAAGGTGTAAAATTGCCCGGTATTGAATTGGTTAATATATTTAGAAAGTAATATTATCATATTAAAGGATAAGTTCACCTTTTGGAACGTGTTACAAGTTCCATCAGTATTTAGGGAGGAATATGTAACATGTTCCAGCAGCTGCAGCCTCTCCCCACAGCTTCCCAGTGACAGCGTGCAGGGATCTTCTCCTAGTGCAGTGATGGCGAACCTTTTTGAGCCCGAGTGCCCAAACTGCAACCCAAAACCAACTTATTTCTTTCAAAGTGCCAACACTGCAATGAAACTTGAATATCGAGCTTTTGGTTTAGAAAAAACAACTCGTACAGTAGTGCAAACTAATTAACAGTACAGGGATGACCAGAGACTGCGGACACAGTACAGGGATGACCAGAGACTGCGGACACAGTACAGGGATGACCAGAGACTGCGGACACAGTACAGGGATGACCAGAGACTGCGGACACAGTACAGGAGATGACCAGAGACTGCAGACACAGTACAGGAGATGACCAGAGACTGCGGACACAGTACAGGGATGACCAGAGACTGCGGACACAGTACAGGGATGACCAGAGACTGCGGACACAGTACAGGAGATGACCAGAGACTGCAGACACAGTACAGGGATGACCAGAGACTGCGGACACAGTACAGGGATGACCAGAGACTGCGGACACAGTACAGGAGATGACCAGAGACTGCGGACACAGTAACAGGGATGACCAGAGAATGCGGACAGTACAGGAGATGGCCAGAGACTGCGGACAGTACAGGGATGACCAGAGACTGCGGACACACTACAGGGATGACCAGAGACTGCGGACACAGTACAGGGATGACCAGAGACTGCGGACACAGTACAGGGATGACCAGAGACTGCGGACACAGTACAGGAGATGACCAGAGACTGCGGACACAGTACAGGGATGACCAGAGACTGCAGACACAGTACAGGGATGACCAGAGACTGCAGACACAGTACAGGGATGACCAGAGACTGCAGACACAGTACAGGGATGACCAGAGACTGCGGAAAGTACAGGAGATGACCAGAGACTGCAGACACAGTACAGGGATGACCAGAGACTGCAGACACAGTACAGGGATGACCAGAGACTGCAGACACAGTACAGGGATGACCAGAGACTGCGGACACAGTACAGGAGATGACCAGAGACTGCGGACACAGTACAGGGATGACCAGAGACTGTGGACACAGTACAGGGATGATGACCAGAGACTGCGGACAGTACAGGAGATGACCAGAGACTGCGGACACAGTACAGGAGATGACCAGAGACTGCGGACACAGTACAGGAGATGACCAGAGACTGCGAACAGTACAGAAGATGACCAGAGACTGCGGACAGTACAGGAGATGACCAGAGACTGCGGACAGTACAGGGATGACCAGAGACTGCGGACACAGTACAGGGATGACCAGAGACTGCGGACAGTACAGGGATGACCAGAGACTGCGGACACAGTACAGGAGATGACCAGAGACTGCGGACACAGTACAGGGATGACCAGTGACTGCGGACAGTACAGGGATGACCAGAGACTGCGGAAAGTACAGGAGATGACCAGAGACTGCGGACAGTACAGGAGATGACCAGAGACTGCGGACAGTACAGGAGATGACCAGAGACTGCGGACACAGTACAGGAGATGACCAGAGACTGCGGACACAGTACAGGAGATGACCAGAGACTGCGAACAGTACAGAAGATGACCAGAGACTGCGGACAGTACAGAAGATGACCAGAGACTGCGGACAGTACAGGAGATGACCAGAGACTGCGGACAGTACAGGGATGACCAGAGACTGCGGACACAGTACAGGGATGACCAGAGACTGCGGAAAGTACAGGAGATGACCAGAGACTGTGGACAGTACAGGAGATGACCAGAGACTGCGGACACAGTACAGGAGATGACCAGAGACTACAGACACAGTACAGGGATGACCAGAGACGGCGGACAGTACAGGAGATGACCAGAGACTGCAGACACAGTACAGGGATGACCAGAGACTGCAGACACAGTACAGGGATGACCAGAAACTGCAGACACAGTACAGGGATGACCAGAGACTGCGGACACAGTACAGGAGATGACCAGAGACTGCGGACACAGTACAGGGATGACCAGAGACTGCGGACACAGTACAGGGATGACCAGAGACTGCGGACACAGTACAGGAGATGACCAGAGACTGCGGACACAGTACAGGGATGACCAGAGACTGCGGACACAGTACAGGGATGACCAGAGACTGCGGACAGTACAGGAGATGACCAGAGACTGCGGACACAGTACAGGAGATGACCAGAGACTGCGGACACAGTACAGGAGATGACCAGAGACTGCGGACAGTACAGAAGGTGACCAGAGACTGCGGACAGTACAGGAGATGACCAGAGACTGCGGGACAGTACAGGGATGACCAGAGACTGCGGACACAGTACAGGGATGACCAGAGACTGCGGACAGTACAGGGATGACCAGAGACTGCGGACACAGTACAGGAGATGACCAGAGACTGCGGTCACAGTACAGGGATGACCAGTGACTGCGGACAGTACAGGGATGACCAGAGACTGCGGAAAGTACAGGAGATGACCAGAGACTGCGGACAGTACAGGGATGACCAGAGACTGCGGACACAGTACAGGGATGACCAGAGACTGCGGAAAGTACAGGAGATGACCAGAGACTGCGGACAGTACAGGAGATGACCAGAGACTGCGGACAGTACAGGAGATGACCAGAGACTGCGGACACAGTACAGGAGATGACCAGAGACTGACCGGACACAGTACAGGAGATGACCAGAACTGCGAACAGTACAGAAGATGACCAGAGACTGCGGACAGTACAGGAGATGACCAGAGACTGCGGACAGTACAGGGATGACCAGAGACTGCGGACTCAGTACAGGGATGACCAGAGACAGCGGAAAGTAC